CCTAACGCGGCCATCCGGTGGCAAGACCAGGCCTTGATTGAGTTCCTCTGTCCCTCACTCTGCTGAGCCTGCCTGGGGAGAAGGGGAGGGATCCTTGGATAGGGCGAAATAGAGAAAGTGGGAGAGACCTGGGAGAGAGAACTGGGAGGGGAAGGGAGAGGCCGAGTGGTTCCAGAGGCCTCCGGACTCAGCGGTGGCAGTGGAGGCGGGAGCCGGGCACAGGCTGAAGGAAGACAGGAGAATGTGTGGCCGAGAGAGGACAAGGGTCGGAGAAGGCACGAAGGGGACAGAACAGGAAGCCAAGAAAAGGGGCCAAGAGTGGAGAGTGGCTGATGGGCAGGGGTCCCCCAAGATAAAGTGGGGAAGGCTGGGGAAGAGGGGGGTACCCCCATCCCTCCCTCCGCCATCTTTTATCTTCCTCATAGTACCCTGATGCGGGTGGAGAGGCTGTGGGCTAGGGCTGGTGTCACGGACAAGAAAATGGGAGGGAACACTGAGGTCTCCCTCGAGACAGGAGTTGAAGCCCCAGGAATTGGGGATTTTGAGGGAGGAGAAGCTTAACCCCAACAGCACCGGGAAGCCGGCTCCCCTTGCCTCCTTCCCCCTTCGTGGCTTGGCTTGCGGTCTCCCTTCCCCGCCTAGGCCCCCAGGAAGTGTGAGTGCTGGGGGTGGTGAGGTTAGGAGGGGGAAGCAGCCTATGGGGGATGGGGAAGTCTTGCACTCGCTTTGGAGGGGCTGGGGTGGCGAAAGAAGGGCCCCAGACATGCCTTGGGCATCCCTGGGCGAAGCCCTTCGAACCCCGTCGGGCACTCACCTCCGTCCCTCACCCTGCCTTCCCAACTAGGCGGTCCAGATGGCTTCAGCCCTGGGCCCCAGAGGCCCTGGGAGGGGGTGGGAGACGCTGGGGAAACGAGGATTCCTGGGTCCCTGAGGACTTTGGACTGGCTGTCCTATTTCCCCAACCCTCTGGTCCAGCCACAGGCCAAAGCCCTTGGCTTCGTGCAAACTTAGTTCCAAAAAAAAAAAAAAAAAAAAAACAGGAAGAGAACCCGAGGCTGGAGTTGGGGTGGGAGTTGAGGGATTGCAAGGAGAAAGAAGTCAGGGGGAGGGGTGGCCGGCCAAGGTGCCAAGGCCCCGGGGAAGAGCCGTAGGTCTCCCCATCACCCCCGACAGGAGGGTGTCACAGCCTGGTCCTCCTCCCTCGCCCCCCCGGCCGCGGCACCTAGAGAGGCTGGCCGGGCTCCTTCGGGCTCCCTGGCAGAGCCGGGAGGTGGGGGCCACGGAGCCCGCGGAGGGGGGGGCTCGGTGTGCCTGTGTCTCGGGCCCATATCTATTTTCTCCGCTGCTAATCCTGGTTCCGCCTGCTGCCCCCCACACTAAGCCTCACTCCCCTAATCCCCAGGGTGCGGGGAAGGGGGGCCAGCTTTACTCAGCTGCCCTGTTCAGGGCCTCGTATCCCAGCCCTTCAGCTGCGCGAGCCAGCAGTGCTGGCCCTGGTGCCCCCATCCCTGCACTGGCCACTGCCCGAGGTCGGCCCTGGAAAGAGCTCTGGCCTCCTTTCCTTCCCAAGCCCTTTCCTTTTCACTGCCCTCTACCTCATGGTTCTTGGTGGTGGACACGCCCTGGCAGCTGCCCCTGGGCACTGAGGGGTAGGCGATAGGGGTTCCAACCTTTCTTGCCCCGAAGTCTTCCCCCCACCAATGATGGGACAGGCTTGACTCAGGGCCCAGTTTCAAGAGAGCTGCCCACTGGCTTGGCCGGTCTAGCAGGCCTGACAGTGAGGGGAGCCTGGGGGGGTGGCAGGAAAGGGGGGAGTGATGGGGCGGGGCCCCCAGTTCTTCCCCCTACCAGGCAAACAGACCAAACAGACCTCGCCTGGTTCCCTGGCACAGCTGCCCCCCCAACCACCACACGCCCATGCCCACAAGGTCTTAGCAAGAGGGGGCATGCCAGGCTGGGTGGGGATGGGCCGCCCTCATGGGGCGTCAGGGGGCTGGGCCCTCTGGGATGCAGAGGTGGGAAGGGTGCCCAAGGTGGGGTGGGCATCCTGGCACCAGTGCCCCACCCTGGCAGAAAGAAGGGGGAGGCCTCCACCCCATCTACCCCTCCCAGATGATGGGGCTAGGAGTGCCCCCTTGGCCTGGTTGGCACCAGCATAGTTCCAGGTGGCACCTAAGTTGGCATGGCTGCCAGAGCCCTGGGTAAGGGCTGGGGGAGTTTCCCAGAAGCTGGAGAACCATATGAATACCTGCCCTTCCCACGTGTGTCTTGTGTCCTCTGCCTCTTCCCTCCTTCATTGCTACCTGGTGGCATGGGCATTGGAGTTGGACCTAAGGGGTTAAATACCCACCCTTCCCACCCTTGCCCAAGCCTGGTGCGAACTGTATAGTGTACCAGCCTGAGCTTCTGACCTGACAGCAGGGTCAGCCAGTCAATGCCCCGCCACACCGAGCTGGAGCTGCCATGGCGACTGGCCTTGGGGTGGGAGAAAGGAGGCGGGCTTAGTTAGCAGCAGGAATGGGTGGGGTTG